AATATATATGTATAAAGCAAAAAAAGAACAAAAAGTAAAAGATTTACAAAGTCCACTATTGTAATAGGAGATTGTAAACACATCTCTTTCAAATAATTGTCAGCTTAATTGTGAATTATAGAAAGATGGGAGATTAGGATGCAGAAGATTTAAGAAACACTTAACAGGCTTGTTCTAATGGGTAGAGAACACTGCATCCAATAATGGGAGAAAGTACATTTTTTTCAAGTAAAAATGGGCACAACTTGGGGTACTGAACACACAGTACAATATACAGGTGATATGTTATAGAGTTGTGCACCTGAAACTTATGTACAGTTATTAACTAATGCCACACCAATAAATTCAATAAATAATTTTTTAAAATAGAGCAATACAAATAGTATGCATATCCAGCCTTCTTGGACCCCCAAATTTGGACACTATACTTAATGGTAAAGGTTAAATTTCATCTCAAATAAAACACAATAGTCAATTTTTAAAAACACAGAAAAAAAGAATAATCCAGAATTGCCAAGTAATTATTAAAGAAATTTGACCCACAGGTAGAAGTTATGAGGGCGGGTGGGGTGGAGGGGGACAGGCCCAGGTTGCGTTTCTCCCTGAGTTCTAACAGACACCTGAGCAGGAGGCAATTTTAACACCATATAGATTCTTCCAGAGAAAAACAGGGATTGTTCCAGACTATTAGACTGGATGTATAATGTTCATATTGCTCATATAAATTGACACCAAAACAAGTTAAGGGCAGTACCAGGAAAGAATATTAAAGACCAACCTCACTCATGAATGTGATAAAAAATAAATCCTAAAAGAAAAAAAATGTTAGCAAGCCAAATCTAACAATGTATAAAAAATACTCTTTGACCAGGAATTCAAGATTGGCTTGAATTTAGAAAATCTATTTCATACATTACCAGATTAAAGTGTGACTTAAGGATTTATGTTTTTATCTGTTGAAAACATTGATTTATTCAAGAATATCTTTTCTTAAATAGCTTAAATTTAAAAGCTTCTATTTCTAAAAAGGTATTTTAATAGCAACAAAAATATAAAAATACCCAAGAATAAATTTAACAAATTGTGTGCAAGCCCTTAAGAGAGAAAAGTATAAAACCTTAAAAGATCTAACTAAATGGAGCTACGTACTCTCCGCATGAATAGGAAGAATCAAAACAATTAAAAAATGTCGACATTGGTTTTCAAGAAAGCTGACAGCCTGACTCTAAAATGTGTAGGGAACTGCAGGGTGGCGGGAGGGAGGTGCTAAGACAGCTTTGAAGAAGGGCCCAGCAGGAGGGTTTGCTCGCCTCCCGGAGCTGTGTCAGAAAGCTGCTGTGCTGAAGACCGCGTGGGTTCCCCAGGGGCATGGCCAGAAACACGGCCAGAAACACTCCACAGATGCCTGCACATTGGGGGCACCGCAGAGACCCACAAGGTCGGCTGGTGCGGGATGCCCCTAATGCAAAATCAGGCAGGGACAACCGTCAGGCACACGGGGAGATGAATGTGTTCCTATCTAATAGCGCACAAAAATTAATTACGGGTGGATTGGAGTCTCAAATGAGAAACTTCAGCGAAAACTTCTACTCATCAAAATGCACCTTAAAGAGAAGGCACAAAACAGAAACACATATTTGTAACATATATTTGACAAAGACCTAGGTTTCAGAATATGAGTACATCTAGAAATCCTAAAGATTAATAAGGAATACAGCACAACTCAATAGAAATAGTGGGCAAAAAGCATTCCCCAAAGAAGAAAGGTACACAGTGAACAATCTGAAAATTCAGAGTGCAAATTGGCACAACCACTTGGGAAATCAGTTTCACATTATCTAATGAAGTTGAAAATGAGCATCTATCCTGTGTCCTTGAGGTACAGCATATACCTCCCCTCCCATGGTGCCCACGAACTGTACTTTTTGCCCATATGCATCACAAGACACATACAAGGATGCTCTGGACAATACTGTTTGTAATTGGCAGGGTGCAGGATGGGGAGGACTAATGAGCCAAATGTTAGTAAGAGAATAGTTACATTGTGTTACAGCACACAACACCAATGAAAACAGTGGATGACTCTCACAGGTATAATGTTGAGAGTGAAAAAAAGTGCAGAAAAATGTACACCATAGCCTTTCATGTATATGAAGTTTAGGAGCATGCTCACTGTACGCTGTATTGTTTAGTAATGTATACATATCTGTAACTACAGATAAAAGCAAGAAAAGGAGAAGCACAAAACTCAGGGTAGTGGGTGCCTCCAGGCGGGGGGAGGGGCTGGGTGGGGACTATGAAAGGGCTGCTGAGCACCAATCACTTCTGAGCACTTAGTCGGGAGTAGCTTGACTGCCTGCCAGCAACTAACAGGCTGACCAGGAGGTTCTCCCATAGTAGAGTACTCGGGTGGGTGGGGCAGCGTGGGAAATGAGCAAACCTGTTCGGGGAGGTTTCCCCTGTGAAAAGCGTGACTGGGAGGAGGAGAGCTGGGGTTGGGGGCGGGGCTAGAAGGAGGAGTGTGTGTGGTGCCGTGCCCTCTCAATACCGTTGAATTCAGTTTGGAAACATTTACTTCACCCCAGAGCGTCTGGCATTATGTCAGGTTCCTGGAACACAAAGATAAATCAGTAGGGGAAGGGAGTGAATCAAGGCAGATGGGTAATTTGGCAAAGGAATGTCCTGGGTGAATTTCTGACAAGTGGCAGGGAGGTCAGGAGGAGATGGTGCCTCTTGAAGGAAGAGCTGAAGTTAGAGGCCAAAGGGAGGGCAGACTCATTCCAGGCAGAGGGAGTTCCGAGAGCGCAGATGTGCAGGAGAGAGACATGCTCTTCTGGAGCCTAAACCTTGAAGTGGGGCCTGGAGAGAGAGAGGAGGCGGGAGGGTTCAGCTTGGTTCCATGTGCTGCAGACACTGGAGCCCTTGAAATGCATTGAGGCAGGAAGAGACAGGACTAGCACCTCTGGACCCCCCCATCTTGATGAGCAGCAAGGCCGATTAGGAGGCCGTGGCCGGGATCCAGGTAAAGCCTAGGAGGTAGGGAGGAGTCGTGGAGATGGAGCAAGGAGCATATAGGAGGCAAAAAAGGCAGGATGTGGTGTTTGATTGACTAGCGATTGAAGAAGAGGAAGACTGTGGATTGACAATGCAGAAAGAGCCCCTGTCTCTGGCTGTCAGAAACGACACCGCCCCCTAGGTCTGTTCCCAGGGTGTGCCAGGGTGGAGTCGGTCCCAGTGAGATTTCTTCTTGCCTTTCTAGTGATTTGTAACATTAATCTGCAGATTCCATACTTGGACCTCAGTACATTTATGGCACCGTGATTCTGTCACATTTATACAAAAGCTCAGTAACAGTATAACAAAAATATGGTTGTTACTAAAATACTCCTCGAGAAAATTCAGTTTCCAATACATGTTTCCAAGATTAGTTCACAGAAAAGGCAGTGAACGATCACTCTAATTACAACATCCTGCCTCAAAGGCCAACGGGGTTGGGTCTTAACGTTTCCTTTGGTGCTTGTAATAGCTGCTTTTTGTAATTTTATCATTTAAACAAAAGTGATGTTGCATTTGTAATTGCAGTTGAGAATTGTGTTTAAGCATCCTGTTTATATTTATTTAATGGAATGTGTTTTCAAAAGCAAGATAGGATATTTCTGTTAAAGGCTTATTTCTAAGAAGCATTATTTAAATCACCTTGGTCACTTTTGTGGCCAGAACCCCAAATATAGGTCACAAAGCTCATTCATGCATTTGCCAGATCCCTTGGCTCAGAAGGTAACAACCTTCAGAGCAGAAAAGATTTTGCAAATTTTTCTTGCTGGTTGGGTCAAGTACAGATCTACCCTCCCCTCGACTCACCCCCACCCAAAGTAGCTGATTGGTGGGAAAATGACCTGCTTCCTTATTTGCTGCCCATGATGCCTAAGAAGTGATTCAGCCGAGAAGATGCCTCAGTAAAGGAATTTAGTCGAACCATCAATTGATTCAATTAAATGACTTGATTATTTTTTCTACTTCTGAATCACTTTTTAAACAGAATTAGCCAAACAACATTTTTTGCCATTGTTTAAATAATAATAGCAAAGGTTAAATGAAACTACTGTCTTGTATAATACAGTTGTCCCCTGAGATTTAAGAGAGATTTTGAGCCTCAGTTATTATTACCACTAAACCTTTAATATCAACTGACCAAGCAAGCCCCTAAATAGTTTTAATACTGGAGTTTTTAATGATGTCATTCATGACCACCAGAACAAAATAATCACTTTTTCTTCTTCAGAACATTTACTACCAATATTATAAACAGAAATGTTTCCACTTCAGGCACGCGGATAAGAATGCTCATTGAACATGAAGCAGAAGTTCTACCACACCCTGCTCAGGCTCCCTTATCTCCAGGTTATGAGCCCTCTGGCTGTGTCTTCACAGGGTCTGGGAACTCATTCAGTTTCTCCATCTGATTCTCTATGGCCAGCATCCCTGGCTCTCCCGGCCACCTAGGACCCAGAGTCCTTCAAAGAAGTCATGCAGTTCCCATGTCTGGTTAAATCCTGAGGTGTTTGTCGGGGACCAGCCACAGCTCAATGTTTATATCGGTCCCCTTGTCTACCACAGTCTCCGGAGACGCCTGGTCCAGGACACAAATCCCATCCCTCCTACACACTAGCTCAAGGGCCTTAGACAAATCACTTGAACTCTCTGAACTTCAGTTGCCTACTCCATAAAAGGGGGATAATAATGGGGTTGTGGTACAAATAGAATTGGAAGTGTTTTCATAAAGCACAGTGCCTAACTTAGCAAACATTCAGTAGATATTAGCTATTAGCATTGATATTAAGCAGGTTAAGACGTTCACTTTTTAAAAGTGTTTTAGCTTTTAAGTATAAACAAGTAGTAATTTGTCAGAAATTAATGGAAAGTTAGAAAATTATACATTTCAGAGAGGTACCAATTAAACTTTAAAACATATCTATTTTAACATGTTTTTGTTCTTTTAGGCCAATTGTGTCTGAGAAAAATGAGCTTCTCATTCAGTTTTTCTCAGACTTAAGCTTAACTGCAGATGGATTTATTGGTCACTACAAATTCAGGCCAAAAAAATTACCAACGACTACGGCATCACCAATTACCACCACATTCTCTGCGACTACAGGTGAGTTTTTCTGTTTTGAAGTTTGTTCACAAACCTAAGGAATATTAAAAAAAAATCTTTTGAAGTAGAAAAAAAATCAAATAAAAGGAAGATATTTGAAACTAAAGTAAGTTAAATAAGATGAAAACATATGTAAGAGAATAATATGACTCCATTAATGAAAGAAAAGTATATGGTATAAGAATACTAATAAGCTAATAGTTTTTGAATGTCATCTAAGGAAATTATGACCACTTAAAAATTACTAGGAACCCTAGTAACAGATCATTGTAAGACTTATTTTTTCCTTTCCTGGCACTTATAAAATTATGGTTTTCTTTCTATTATTTAGAATTACAGTATTTTAGTTTAAAGTTCTAGGGCCTCGACACCTGCCTGCTTTCATATCTGCCAGTGTTTGAAGGGCTTTTTTTTTTTTTGCTTTGCTTCAGAATGTGTCATACAAAATATATTATTTTTTTCAAATTGGAGTAAGTCAAACAAAAATATGGAAGTCATTTGGGTAAGTCTGGTCTGGGATGTGCTCTAAGATTTGGGGAGGCAGGAGTGGGTCCCTGTACCTAGTCTATGCATCCTGGAAGCTCCATTCACTGGGATTTCAGACCTGTTACCAAAATCTAAATCCAGGGGGGAGGGAAAAGTGAGAAGGAAGGAGCTAAGGTTAAGGAATGAGGCAAGTTGAAATAAGAACAACTTTATGGCCATTTTTCTGATGCTCAAAGTAAGGTTGTTTAAGTACAGGCACATCCTGAAGAGCTGATTTTTCTGAGCACTCCCTCAGTGTGCCCCCTTGTGGTGTGGAAGAGTACTGCCTCACTTTACAGCAGCATTTCTCCCACTTATCTCAGGGGACTGTGGTGTCCTAAGAATTATCAGGTCACACCCACAGTGCTTAGTGGTTCCCCAGCTTTTATCTCCAGTTGTAAACTTTCTCTGAAATTGCAAACATGGATTTGTAATTATCTTCTAGAATTTTGCAACTGCTAGACATTTAAATGAAAACCTATCAAACAACTTTTTTTATCACACTATTTTCTGCCTTGAACCAGCTTCTCTGCCTGTTTACCCAGGCATGGCCTACAGCACCAGAGTCACATGCTTAGGACCACCTTGGACCTCCTCTGTGATACCTCCCCACTGCTTGCCCCCCACCACACACGCAGGACCCACCAAATCATTCTCTACAACTGTACCATCTAATGCATTAGCCACTAATGAATACTTACAATGTGGCCAGTGATACCAAGGAACTGAATTTTTAATTTAATGGAATTTAAAAAGCCTCATGTGGCCAGTGGCTACCAAACAGCACAAGAGCCCAACTCTTTCACATGGTATGTAAGACCTTGCACATTTCATCCCTATTCTCTCTTTCTAGATTCGTCTTTAGTCTCTACCACCTCTCTCCTTATGCTGCTGAGTATTTTGGATTTTATTCTAAGTGTGGGGGAAGTTGTTGATGAATTAAGCAAAGTTCAGGACTAGATTTACACTATGAAGAAGATCACTCTGGCCACTGTGAATAGATTGTAGGGGTTAAGAGCATCAATAGGTACTTGTGGTTGTGCAGAGGAACTGTGCTATGACAAAATGCAGATAGTCAAGAGATGTTGACTGTAGTGACAGCCAGGGACCTTGGGAGATATTGACAGGGCTTGGTGATGAATTGGACTAGGGAGATCAGGGAGGTGTCAAGAATGCCTCCCAGGTCCCTGGCTTGCAAAAGCCGGGAGGCGGGGGGAAACAACCGTTCACTGGAGCTGGGAACCGGGTTTAGGGGTAGGTTCATGAGTTAAGCCTGTTGCATCTAAGGTGTCTGTGAGATACTCAAGTGGAGATGTCATGTGGACAGTTAAATCTATGGCCAGAAGAGAGATTTAAGCAAGCTCTCTGAATTTGAGAGTCATCAACATAGACATTGTTGATACCATGATCCAGAGTGAGATTGGCCAGGGAGAGGTTAGGGGTGAAAGGAGAGGGCTGGAATTAAATCTCTGGGAATGCCAGCGTATTAAAGGGCAGCATATGGAGGTTAAGGAGACAAAGAGGAGAAGCTAGGGAGGAGGGAGGAAGCAGCAGCCCGGGTCACGGAGGCCACACAAGGGAGTGCTTCAAGAAGGAAGTAGTCAGTAGAGCCAAGGATTAACAGATTTCAAAAGAGGGAAGGATTCAAATGTTTCCATTTGATTCCTTGGCGTGGTGGCTGCTGCAGACCCTAGCAGGACTTGTGTGAGTGCAGCTATGCAGGCAGAAGCCAGACTCAGTGGGCTGAGGCGTGTGGAACACAGTGAAAAAAATTGAGACAGCGAGTTCGGCAACTTATTCCACAAGTGTGGCCCTCGGAGGGCAGAGAGGCTTTGAGTGTCTGGAGCAACTTAAAGCTACTGGGAAGTAGCCAGCAAAGGAGCACATGTTGGCAGACAGAAGGAATGAACTGAAGAGGAAATTTCTATAAAGATGGGAGGTTGTGGCCTCCAGAAGGTTGGCAGGACAAACCTTCGACTAGAGGTGGGGCAACTGCCTTTCCCAGGGGAGAAAAGGAAGGCAGAGGCTATAGATAAAGACAGCTCGAAGGTTTGGTGGGGATCTGAAGGACATTTTCCTCTATGATTTCTATTCTCTCTAGGAAATAGGCAGGCTCACCTGCTGAGGATGAGAAGGGAGGAGGGAGAACCGCAGGTTAGTGTAAAAGAATTTGAACAAGAGCTGTGGAAATTAGACAGCGAGTTGATCTATCAAACAGCTTGTCACCTTGATGAGGGTCTGTTTATGCACCCACTGATGGCACTGCTTTTTGATTCAGGGAATTAGGTAAATTTCGGCCTCCAACCTTTGGAACAATGTTCCCCCTAACACGGGCCTCCAGCCTTTTGGCGTCTCTGGGCCACCCTGGAAGAAGAATTGTCTTCTGCCACACGTTAAATACACAAACACTAATGAAAACTAATAAGAAAAAAAAAAAAGTGGTTTTACGTAAATTTACGGTTTTGTGACATTCACAGCCATCCTGGTTTGCATGCAGCTGCAGGCCGTGGGTTGGACACCCCTGCGTATTTACTGAACTCTTCCTTTCACAAAGAAATGTGTGTTTAAAATTTTATATATATTTAACATCAAATTGTATATATTTTAATACTGTAATTCATTTCAGTTCCCTTTTGGAGTTAAGCAGGGATACAAATTAGGAATAAATAAATAAATAATAAATTCACAAAAGAGTTGCAGAACCTATTAAAAGGGCAATATTCCAATTGCAGATTTTTACCTAACAAGTACAATTTTGTTACAGTTTTACTTAAAATAGTCTTTCTAGATTTAAATAATCTAGGTATTCTAATTTAAAATTATATTTTTAAATACTTATCTATTTAATATATAATAGATTTATATATTTATAGTATACAATATATTAAATGTTTAAATAATTAATATTTAAATGATTAGCAAGTATTTGTGAAACCTTTTAAATGATGGTGATGGGGATTAAATATGTTCATTTTACTAACTCATGGTTTCTCAGTGTTGGCACTTTTAACATTTTGGGCCACCTAACTCATTGCTGCCGGTCACTGTCCAGTGTAAGCTATCTAGCAACATCCTTCCCCACTAGATGCTAGAAGCACCTAACTGTGACAACCAAAAATATCCCCAGACAGGCAGTGACAGGCTCAACATAAATGTTCTGTAGTTGGTTGCATCTAATTGCAGATATAACACATTTTACACATGAGCAGTGTTTCTGAAGAAACCTTTGCCAGTCACATTTAGGCAATTGCCTATTTTAAATGCACCGAGAAAGCTCCCTCCATCTTCAGGGGGAGCATCGTAGGATCCCTTGTGTAAAGTGAAGGATTAACCTATATTATCTAAGTTTATATTTGTTGTACTAGATTTTTCTAAGCAGGGCAGTGGGAGACCATATCTGTTTTTGGTTATAGTGCTAGTTTTATGTAAAGGAAGAAGAGAATAGGGCTAAATGTGGGTTATCTTTTATCACAAATTTAAAATTCAGCAAAGGCTATTCAGTTACACCAAGGAAATTGGTGCAGTAGTTGGTAACATAAAGAATTTCTTTTGCACGCTTCTTAATTAGTTCTTTGCAATGAGGTATTGGTTGCTCAGGGAAATAAATGGGAATTGTAAATTGATAGATTCGTATCGAAATACCAATTATATTTGAATTCATTTTCCTGAATCTAATGACTTTCTTTTTTGAATTAAGGTTTAAAACCCACAGTGGCCATGTGTCAGCAAAAGTGCAGATGGACGGGTACCCTGGAAAGCAATTACTGTTCAAGTAATTTTGGTAAGAAGTAAAACTAGCCTTTTCTCTTCAGTAAGAACTTTGAGACTGCGTGCTTAGTCTCAAAGGAATTGCTATGAATGTGATGGTAAAGGGTAAGTTACACTCTTGATTTACTCAAGAAAATATTTCCCCATGCACCAAGGTGTGTTGACTTGTGTTCTTCAAAGTGCTGGATTTCACAGCTGAGAAAATCATGTGTATAGAAAATATACTTTTTCACATGAACTTAATTTGACTCCTGGTACATGATACTGTTATTCTATGTAGTCTGGCTGCTCAGTATTCCTGGGAAAAAACCTGTGTACTTTTTGTTCTCACATATTTTTTTATGTGTTGATTATTTTTTCACACATCTGTAATTCAACTTAAGTAAATGAGAAGCATAGCCAATCTGGCCCCTCTCACAAGAAATTCAAGCATTTCCTCTGTGGGGTCCTTCTAGAGTTCTCAGTTAAAGCCTGGAAATCAGAAAGCCATTTGGAAATATTTATAAAGTGGAACCAGAGGCGACATTACCTATTAATGTCTTAGACTTATAAGAGCTTTTTACACTAAAAAATAATTGCACTTTTTTGTGAAAGACACTCAAGAGCAAAAGATACCAAATTTAATTATGTTGATTATTTTCCAAAAGATTATTTAAGAAAAGTCTTACCAGGAGAAGAAAGTGGCTGTAGCCTAAAAGGTCACCCTAAACCCAGGGCCCCCCGGAAGAGGCCCCAGCCGCAGCACAGCATGCTGTGTTCTAGTGAAAGAAGGTGCTGAGCAGTCTGGGCCCTAAACCCAGCCGGAGGGGACACGCTGGCATCTTCAAGTAACCGGTGTAAAATGGAAACAAGCGGCCCCAGGTGTCATGGCCAGCACAGCCAGCCTAGTCTCCCGTAGGAGGTGCCTAAGGAAATCTCCCTGCCTGTCCTTTGGAGCCTGTCCCCGTGGCTACAGACTGCCATTTTGCAGTGAGCACTTATCTCCAGGAACCAAAGTAAGGCAGGGGGAGAATTCTGATTTCATGAGCTTTGCACCCTATGTAAGCAGTAAGTTCTCACTTTACCCCGAAAAGCTCATATCAGCCAAGTCCAAACCTTGATTTATTCCGCTGTGACTCAGTTACATGGCAAAATGAGCAAATACTACCCCCGGGGGCTCATCGGTTCTTAACCAGCATTGGTGACACTCCTCTCGTGGCAGTTTGGTTTGTCATGGCAACCAAGCAGCTCCTGGTTTTTTCAGGCAGGGACAGGGCGCATGTAAAAGTCATTCAGTGCAAGTCCTGTACCACATGGACCTGCCTCCACTCAAGTGCCCAAAGCCTGCCTTTGAGAAACACAGCATAATTCCTTCTATGACTCAGAAATAAGACTCCTTTCTTTGAGGGTCATAATGGAAAAATGAGAATTACACAATGAAAAGCAACTGAATTTTGCTAGAGATTTTTTTTTTTTTTAAGCAAGAAAATGTTTTGTTATACGTCAGTTCTCTACTTGACTTGTTAAGTAAGATAAGTAGGATGGATAAGAAAGAGAATACCAAAGACCCAGAAAAAGACAGGTATTTGCTGATTATTAGAGAGAGATGGGGACCCATGGGATGAACCAAAGTTCTAGGAGAAAGGACAGCTAAAGAGAGGGGTCGGGGGAGACACAGAGAGGTAGGCTGCCACCCGTCCTCATGGCCCCAACCCCCTCATACTGTGTTGCCTCTACAGATTCAAGGTCCTGTTGCTCATGCCCAGGTAGAGGTACCTTCACTGTCACATTGTTTCCAAAACGTTTTCTTCCGCAGTGGTCGCTGGCACTGTCATCACAACAGCCCCTCGAGGGGGGAGCCTGCACGCCACCGTCTCACTCATCAACATCTATAAAGAGGGAAACCTGGCGATTCAACAGGCCGGCAAGAACATGAGCGCCAAGATCACCGTGGTCTGCAAGCAGTGCCCTGTCCTCAGAAGAGGTAAACGTGGGGAAAAGCTTGAGCCTTTGCTCTAGGGGAGTGCAGGGGCAGAGGGGAAGCGAAGAAGCCTCTCTGAGCCACTCGTGGGTCTGTCCATGCCATGGCTGCTTGAGGGAAGTCAAGTCAGGGCTTCTGGTAGAAAAGGAAAGCCATGGAGTCAGGCAGAATTGGGCTCTAGTCCCAGTTCTTGTAACATGGACAAGGACAAGGTGGTGGAAATGATGAATGAGTCCAATAAGCATTTGAAGCTGGATCAATATGGAACAGACACAGAGGAGCAGTTCAGGAGAAAATGTTCAATTACTGCACTTACGGCATCAGCACTATGGTTAGAGGAAAATATGCATCAAGGAAAAGGCATTTCAGAGCTGAAGTTCAGAAGAGAGAGGGGCATATATGGGCTAGAATTAAAGATTTGGGAATCATTTTCAGATATAGGATCAGTCAATCCACAGATGGGAATGAGTTTATTAAGAGAAATTATGGAAAAGGGATAGTTACTCCAGAGCCAGAGGCACATAATTTTTAAACAAGCTCTTTAACTTATAAAAGTAACCTATGTTCCATGTTTTTTAAGAAGTTTAAATACGTAGAAAGGATATAAAAAAAAAATGTGAAGCCCTTTCCCTTTCAAATTGAAAGGTACTATGAATACTTCCAGAAAGTTTCTATCCACATACCCACTTAGACAAATGGGATCATACTATACATATTCTATTGCCACTTCCCCCTATATGATATATATGTAGATGTCTTTCTGTAAACAGCAAATCTAGAACCCTCTCTTTGGAATGGTAGTAATTCCTGCTGTCCCACTGTGTGATATTGCATGATTTCTCCATCCAATCTCAAATCATTCCTTTCCTCAGACTTGTAACAAAACCAAAACCAAAACAAAACAAACTAGAGGGAAAGAGACACAGAGAAATACAGAATATTCACTTCAAGGAAGCTTTAGTATGAACTCAGATTGTCAGAAAAGTCAGGAAGGCAGCAATCTCACATTGATTTTTCAGAGGAGATAGCAAAGGCTCTGTAAAAGATAACACTTCTCTTCAGAACTGCCAGGAGCGGCAAATAATGCACATCTAAATGCTCGAAGATCTCATAATGACACTAGCCTTGAGGTGGCAGTGCCAGCCCCACCTGGCCAGCTTTCCCAGGCGTAGGACTTCTGTGATGACATTGTTAGCCCACGGAAGAAGGATTTGCAAGGGAAAAAGGAAACATATCTCTCTGGGGATGCACTGGCGAAGAGGGAGGAAAAAAGGTCATGATACGTATAGCCTTTATGATGTTTTTCTGAGGCAACATAAATCCTCAGAGTCGAACCCAACATACTACAGCATAGGCCCCAGTCTAGGCCTAACTTAGCCAAACATACTAACATCATTTTTAAAAAGGTAACATATATAAGTATTTTTTTTAGTACCTATTTCTGAAAAGGACTAAAAGGATGCAAAGAAGTATATGATGCAACCATGCCCTGAAGAAACTTTCATAGTATAGATGCTTGGATGTTGGAAAGTGGTTCAAGACAACAGCTGAAGACAGTGAGTCATTCATTGCCAGATGCCTGGAAAATCCAGGAGCACTATTGGAATCTGAGACGCCATCTGAGGATGGCATGTCAGGGAGCAGTAGAGGTACCCTGAGGAATGAGAGCCTTTCACATGAACACAGGGCATCCTTCTTGGAAGACACTCAGTATGGACACAAGACCTACAACATGACAGAGCAGGGCATGCCTGGGTCTAGTTATTCCATCTAGCCTCCTAGTGTTAGCATACCTGGAATGTGTTACACAGTTTAATTTAGATTTTTGCTAATGAGAATATTTTTAAATTATATTTTATTGTTTATGCTATTACAGTTGTCCCAATTTTCCCCCTTCCCCCCCCCCCGCACACCCTCAAGCAATCCCCACATCATTGTCCATGTCCATGGGTCATGCGTGCATGTTCTTTGACTACTATATTCCCTATGCTGTACTTTACATCCTTATGACTATTCTGTAACAACCAATTTGTACTTCTTAATGCCTTCACCTTTTTTGCCCATATCCCTGACCCCCTTCCCATCAGACAATCATCAAAATGTTCTCTGTAACTGTGATTCTGATTCTGTTTTGCTTGTTTGTTTATTTTGTTTTTTAGACTCGATTGTTGATGATATGTATTTATTGCTATTTTATTGTTCATATTTTTGATATTCTTAAAAAAGACCTTTTACATTTCATATAATACTGGTTTGGTGGTGATGAACTCCTTTAGCTTTTTCTTGCCTGGGAAACTCTTTATCTGTCTTCAATTCTAAATGATAGCTTTGCTGGGTCAAGCAATCTTGGTTGTAGGCCCTTGCTTTTCATCATTTTGAATATTTCTTGCCAATCTCTTCTAGCCTGAAAAGTTTCTTTTGAGAAATCAGCTGACTCTCTATGGGAGCTCCCTTGTAGGTAACTAACTGCTTTTGTATTGTGGCTTTTAAGATTTTCTCTTTGTCTTTAAACTTTGGCATTTTAGTTATGGTGTGTTTTGGTACAGGCCTCGTTGGGTTCATTTTGTTTGGAACTTTGTGCACTTCCTGGATTTGTATGTCTATGTTCTTCACCAAGTTAGGGAAGTTTCCTGTCATTATTTTTTCAAATAAGATTTCAATTTCTTGCTCTCTCTCTTCCTCCAAGAACCCCCATGATGCGAATGTTGGTATACTTGAAGTTGTCCCAGAAACTCCTTACACTATCCTCATAATTTTGGATCCATTTTTCTCCTTGCTGTTCTGATTGGGTGTTTTTGCTTCCTTATATTCCAAATCGTTGATTTGATTTTTGGCTTCATTCACTCTACTACTGATTCCCTGTTAAGTGTTCTTTATTTTGATTAGTGTATTCTTTGTTTCTGGCTGCATCTTTTTTATGCTGTTGAGATTCCCACTAAGTTCCTTGAGCATCCTTATAAGCAGTGTTTTGAACTCTGCATCTACTAGGTTGCTTGTCTCCATTTTTTCTTAGTTATTTTTCTAGTTTTGTTCTGTTCTTTCATTTGAGCCATGTTTCTTCATCTGCTCATTTTGGCAGTCTCCTTGTTTTTGTTTCTATGTATTAGATAGAGCTTTGTAGGGTGGTCTAATATAGCAGATGTCCTCTAGGGTCCAGTGGCACAGCCTCCCCTATCACCCAAGCTGGGTACTCAAGGTGTGCCCACCAAGTGGGCTGCATATACCCTCCTCTTGTAGTTGAGCCTTGATTGCTGTTGGCGTGTCCCAGATCAGCCACCACCTGTGTTCTGTCTGGGACCATCTGGCATAGGCTAGAGTGACCTGCAAATGGCTGCTACTTACGCTGGGCTTGGAGGAGCCCAGGCAAGGCCAAGCTGTTTACCAAGGCCAGCTGCTGCTAGTACTGGGTCTGTGGCCACTTAGCAAGAGGTTACTGAGTGTGGTCACTGAGGCTATATGCTGCTTGTTTGAGAGAATTTGGGAAAATCTGAAACATGAGCCATACAAGCCATTCATATGGTAAAGTCACTGGAAACAGCTTGGGTGAACCCCAAAGTTGGGTAGGGTGGAACCTTAGGAAATCAAAGTGAGATGAACTGTGTTAGCCAAGTTGGTGGAGACTCGGATATTGCACCCACTTGCCAGTTCTGTGCGGGGGGAGGGTTCAGAAAAGGAACAATGGCCTTTGCCATCACTTCTGTCAGGGAGAAAACTGGCCCCTAGCTCTTGTCCTAATGTTAGATAATTCAGTTTCTCCCCATAAATTTCTGGTGCGTTTCAAGCTGCTGTCCCCATGCTGGAGCTCAGAGGGAGTAAGTGTGAGTAAGTCTGTGCATGGGCCCTTTAAGAAGAATTGCATGGGACTCCAACAGTTTCTGTCTTCCACAGCCTTGATCCCGACTGGATTTTACAGCCAGAAGTTACAGGAACCTATCTTCCTGGCATTGGAAACTTGGGCTTGGAGGCCTGGTATAGGGCTGGGACCTCTTGCTCCTAAGATATTCCTCCTGATTTTTATCTGCCATATGTGGGTGTAGGACCAACCTATTCCATGTCTCTGGCCATCCTACCAGTCTTGATGAGGTTTCTTCTTTAATTCCATAGGTATAGGACTGCTATTCAGTGGTTCTGGAGGATGGTTGTTCTGCAGTTTAGTTGTAACTTTGATGTGGTTGTGTGAGGAGGCAAGCCGTGTTTACCTACACTGCCATCTTGACTGGAAGCTTTCTGATGAGAGTCTTAAACCAGCTCTTATCCTAGATAGAATAAACATATAATTGGTATTTACAGAACATTTATCTAGAGATAAATTATAGTCTCAGTTGTTTCAAACAAGCACACGTAGAAAAAAATTTAATTTACTTTTTTTTAGGTCAAAATTACATTATTATGGGCCAAGTGGGTGAAGATGGGCAAGCCAAAATCATGCCAAACAGCTTCGTCATGATGTTCAAGACCAAGAATCAGAAGTTCTTGAATGCCTTGGAAAACAAGCGATGTTAACAGAGAACTGTGTCAATTGAAGCTACATTCTGTCATTGCCTTTGAAAGATCTATTTTTCTCAGTAGAAAAACAATCTTATATTAAATATTAAGCATTCAGAAAGGTTTACTCTTCACATGATGTAGGTGCGAGGCCTCCAGCATCGCTGATGGAAGTCCCGTGCCTACACCTGGAGAAGCAGGTATCTCAGTGTGGTCGTAGGAAATTAATGGTACCAAGTGTTGACAGTTTGGAAGCAGTTTATTTATACATCTCTGTAGAAGGGTATTTTAGAAATGAATTTTGTGAAGATGTAAAAAAAAGAAATAAGTGCAATATTTGCTCCAAGGTGTTATATTCTTTTCTTGCATTTTTTAAAATCAATGCTTAATAAAATATTTTTAAATGATTATACAACAGCCATTGAATGGCTTTTATATATGAGTGGGGCCCTGTAAAAAAGAATATCCCCTGCTATTTACACAGAAGGCTGTCTTTGTAACAATCTACACTTTGCTAAAAGACTTAGTGTTCTGAGAACTTTGGGGACTGAATGGATCTAGTAATATAAACAGACTATAATTCTTCTCTGCAGAACCAAGAAATGTTAGTGCCTAAATGGTGTCCCTCAGAGATCTAGTTCAGCTTCAGTTTCTATTTTGTAATTTCCTATTACAAAATAGAAATTGAAGCTCAGGTATATTTAGTGACTTTTCCGAACACACATCTCCCATGAGAAAGAGCAGGCTATTGGCACGGAAGTCATCATGGCAAACCCAGTGCCTTTACCACCACTGGAAGAGACCCTCACCAGCCAGAGAACAGCCCTCTTATCCTGACTTAGAGAGCTCAGTTCTTGTTTTCCTAGCCTAAATCATAATTGGTCGTGTTATAAGACTTGAAATTAGAAGTGAGTCTGATACCCCTATCCTGCTCGTTCCTGATAACTAGGTCGGGCTGTGTCAGCAAGGATGCACTCTGCCTTTGAAAAATCTAGTTTCACTCGGTAGTGGGAGAACTATGGAAGGACTTTCCCATCATTCACACAGAGCTGCTTAAAATGCCACTGTACCTACAATGGGTGTGGCCACTAGCCCTCAGGAGGTTGCCAGCCAGGAGCTGCAGAAAAGGGGACACTCATCCCTATCCAAAGAAGGTAGAAAGAACATTAGGGATGAACAAAGACTTGAGTCACAAGGTATCCCATAGTAGAAGCAAAGTTTTAGAAACAAAAGAAATACTTTATGGGATGAAAATCCAAGTATGTGCTACTTGAAACAGAGACCTAAAATAAGGCCACAGAAAAGTTGAGAAGAAAAGGACAGAAAAAGATAACTATACCAGGAAAATATTAACAAAACTGATATGGCTTTAATAATATTAGGAAAAAAATAGACTTTAAGGCATTACTCAAGATGAAGAAGGTTACAAGGAGATATAACAACTCTAAAATTTGCATGCAGCTAATAACACCTTTCAAAATGTATAACTAAACTTGGTATTGTATAAATGGAAAAATCATAGTGGGAAAAATTTTAACACATTTTTTTCTCAGTAATTGGCAGATTTAAAAGAAAAAACAGTAAAGATATAGAAGATTTGGACCATACAGTTCACTAGATTCACCTGATAGGTATATATTGAACAGTACCAAAAGGACATTTCTGATCTTAGTATGGAACAATTTCAAAACTTGCCTACTTAATGTACCATGAGACAAATCCCAACAAATTTCAAACAGACTTCCTTCAACAACAATGAATAATTAGAAATTAATAACAAAAAGTAAAATATAGTAAAAAAAATATTTAAAAACCCGATGTTGGAAATTGAGAAATGTACTGTTAAATAACTCATGATCAAAAGAAAATTATAATGGAAAATAGAAAAACATTAAAAATGAAACATAAAGTTGCTAAATTTAAAATTTTTTAAAGATGGGGAGTGCAGCTTAAATAACACTTTAAAATTTATAACCTTACATGTTTGCATTATTTTAAAAAGGGTGAAAAATAATTTGTGAATGATACAAATTAGGAAGTAAAAGGACAACAGAATAAAGTTTAAACAAATTTTTTTATTGTTTCTTTTTTTAATCCTCACCCGAGGATATATTCATTGATTTTAGAGAGAAAGGAAGGGAGAAAGAGAGAGAGCAATATCTATGTCAGAGAGAATCATTCATTGGAATGTTTCCCACATGCACCCCAACCGGGGATTGAACCTGCAACCTAGGTAGGGGCCCTGACTGGAGAGCGAACCTGCAAGCTTCTGATGCACAGGATGACACTCCAACCAAGTGAGTCACCCAGCCAAGGCAGAATAAACTTTTAAAAGGTAGGAGGAAATATGTAGAGGAGCAGAAATTGAGTAAAATAGTCATCATAAATAACAGAGAAAATTAACGAAGCCAAAAGTTGGTTCTTTAAAATGACTAATATAATAGACAAAACTGAGAAAATGAAGCAAGAAGTGAAAAAGGACAAGAAAATAAGTTAGGACTGAAAAGGGAGCCTACATACAGCTGTCACAGAATCTTAAAAGGTAATAAAAGGATATTCTGCACCACTCTGTGTCAGTAGGTTTGAAAGCTTAGATACAGAGAACAAATACCTAAGCGGGGGAATTTATCAAGTAGAAATAGAATACTTAAATAATCCAATAGCCATTAAAGAAATTTAGTCAATAAGTGACGCTAATTGTATATGAGCGCGAGCAGCAGGCTCTTGGGTCTTTTTTAGCGCCATCTGCTCACGGTGCCACCTCCTGCTCCTCTTGCTGCCACCCTGAGCCACTGACTGCACAGCTCTGGCTGCTCCTCGTGCTAGACATCGATATTTGGAGTACTTACAACATGGCAGACACTGACCACAAAGAACAGTCTGAACTTGATCAAGATTTGGATGATGTTGAAGAAGTAGAATAGGAAGAAACTGGTGAAGAAACAAAAATCAAAGTGTGTCAGCTGACTGTTCAGATGATGCAAAATCCTCAGATTCTTGCAGCCCTCCAAGAAAGACTTGATGGTCTGGTAGAAACACCAACAGGACACACTGAAAGCTTGCCTAAGGTAGTTAAAAGACGAGTGAATGCTCTCAAAAACCTTCCAGTTAAATGTGCACAGACAGAAGCCAAGTTCTGTGAGGAAGTTCATGATCTTGAAAGAAAGTATGCTGTTCCCTAGCAACCTTTATTTGATAAGCAATTCGAGATCATTAATGCAATTTATGAACCTACAGAAGAAGAACGTGACTGGAAACCAGATGAGGAAGATGAAATTTCAGAGGAGCTGAAAGAAAAGGCCAAGATTGAAGATGAGAAAAAGGATGAAGAAAAACAAGACCCCAAGGGAATCCCTGAATTTTGGCTGACTGTTTTTAAGAATGTGGACTTGCTCAGTGATATGGTTCAGGAACATGATGAGCCTATTCTGAAGCACTTGAAAGATATTAACATGAAGTTCTCAGGTGCTGGCCAGCCTATGAGCTTTGTTTTAGAATTTCACTTTGAACCCAATGAATATTTCACAAATGAAGTATTAACAAAGACGTATAGGATGAGGTCAGAACCAGATGATTCTGATCCCTTTTCTTTTGATGCACCAAAAATTATGGGTTGTACAGGGTGCCAGATAGATTGGAAGAAAGGGAAGAATGTCACTCTGAAAACCATTAAAAAGAAGCAGAAACACAAAGGACGTGGGACAGTTCATACTGTGACCAAAACAGTTTCCAATGATTCTTTAATTTTTTTGCCCCTCCTAAAGTTCCGGAAATTGGCCGTCTGGATGATGACGCTGAAGTTATCCTTGCTGCAGATTTTGAAATTGGTCACTTTTTATGTGAGCGTATAATCCCAAGATCAGTGCTGTACTTGACTGGAGAAGCTATTGAAGAAGAAGAAGAAGAAGAAGATGATGATGATGATGATGAAGGTGAAGAAGCAGATGAGGAAGGGGAAGAAGAAGATGAGGAAAATGATCCAGACTATGACTCAAAGAAGGATCAAAACCCAGCAGAGTGTAGGCAGCAGTGAAGCAGGATGGTCTACCTTCTGCTTCCCTGGGAAGGATGAATTTTCATCATTTGACAAGTTCAAGTATTTGTTGTTGATTGTTTGCTTGCTTGCTTTTGTTTTTGCAGCCTATAATAAAAATGTTATATATAAAAAAAAGAAATTGAATCAATAATTTAAAATCTTTCTTCAAATAAAACTCCAGGCCCAGAGAAAGTCTGCCAAACATCTAAAGGCCAAATACTGCTGGTCTAACATATACTATTCCAGAGTGTAAATGAAGAAGTAACACTCTGCAATTTTTTTATGAGACTAATATAATCTCTTTTAAAATTATATTTTATTGATTATGCTGTTACAGTTGTCGCAATTTTCCCCCTTTGCCCCCTCCACCCTGCTCCCCCTACCCCCCCAGGCAGTCCCCCCACCTTTGTTGATGTCCATGGGTCATACATACAAGTTCTTTGGCTACTCAGTTTCCTATATTGTACCTTACTGTGGTAGCCCCGGTCCCGCAGAGTCTTCTGTTTCACCACAGATGAAACAACAAGTTGTTCCACACACCAAGTGCTGTGAAGAAAAGGGGAAGGCGATTCCCTCTAGAGGAGAATGCCCTGAACCCTTCTCTGAAGTGGCTTTTATTGAGAACAATACCTCAGGGGAATACAGCATGCATGCAAAGCTTATCAATCAATGCCTAAAGGCTATATTTAGAGAAAACAGATAGAGATCATAGATAACAATTGTAGGAACACAGAGATTTGCCTCAGGTCAGGGTCTGTAAAACATGCTGACCTCAGATGGTCGTTCAGGTGTGGCTCCTGAATTCAAAAATGCTCTCCTTCTGTCTGAAGCTTAAACATCAGGTTTTTCCTTATCAGGACAGTGCAAAGCAGAGCAAGCTTCAGTGGATACAATGCATTCTTTAGGCCAGATTTCCCATGGGAACCCTTGGTATTAGCATTGGATCATGTCTGCACCCCAGCATTCCCAGTTTTCTGGTCAAGACTTACAGGCCCTGTTTCAAGGCCTGGCTTGCCGGGGGCTACAATTCCTAATACCATACAAAGTGGTCCCCCATACCTTACATCCCCATGGCTATACTGTAACTACCTATTTGTACTTTTTAGTTCCCTCAAAACTTTAGCAGACGATAGGCTCTAGGAACACCACCAGTCTGATTTCACTCAGGAATATAGGTCCAAAAACCCTAAACAAAATATTATCAAACGAAATCCAGCAAACAAAATAGGTCATGACCAATTTGGATTTATCCCAGATTGATAATCTGGGAAAACATGATTGATTTAACATTAGGAAATCAATGATCATACTTCGCTGCATTAATAGATTTGCAATGCCAAGTGGGAAGTGTTTGTGCAACTAAACATTCAGACTCATAAGAGTACTTAGAATCCCTTGGTACCGGTATCCTCAGAAAGATACAGCACAGGAACCAGACCCTGACAGGACCATGTCAGACTTGCTTCTTCTGTGGGGTCTCTGCAGCCTGGCAGCAGTTTGTACAGCCATCGCTGATGGGTTTTCTTTGGCCTCCCCAGATGATGTCTCAGATTCAGGTCTGGTGGGTGCAAACACTCCAGCTTAAAGTTTACATCCCCTCAGAAACCAGTTATCTCTTTTAAGAATCACATAGGCATAATTTCCAGACTTCTCATAGATGACATGCCTAGTTATAAGTGGTACACACTCAGAAAAGCCCAAACCTATGGCTCCCCTACCACTTATATATAGTTAAATGATAATCCCACCCCACTTAGCATACTTTCAGCGTTCATCTGTTATTGCATGCATCAGTAGTTTCTGTGTCAACGTGGCTAGGCTGAATCATGTCTCCCAGAATTCTCTTCCTTGTATGTTTCCAGTAGGGTGGGCAGCAAGAGTGGTTCAGGTGCAATTTGGAGCTCAGAAGTGCAGCAGCAGCCGTTTTGTTTTTCACGGAGGCACTCTTGCAGATCACATATATAAGGAATTTACTTGTTGGTTCAGTCTGTTGGTGTGGGGCAGACTGGCCTACAGTGTCCCGCTGTGCTTTGGATCCTCCTTCAGCTTCTGATTCCTGGGCCAAGTATGTGTTTTTGCAACCTGGCAAAGTGAAACTTATCCTACCAGATACCCACTATCAAATTAGAGACTGTGAGAACTGACATTGGGCTCAGTGCGACCTCATGGCTTCCAGCTTGTCCTTGTTTCTTCCACTTTACATGGCCCTTCCTGTCCAAACTGCCTACTCTATGAACTCCAAGCTCCAGCACTAGTTGCAGAAACAACTTCAGGGAAAATGCTTCACTAATTTCAATTGTGTAATGTTAAATTCCTGTAAAGAAATCACTACGCACATACACATGGTGCCTGCAAATATCCTAAATGTTTCGTTTCTCTGATTGACTCTGACTGATAGGGTTCCCTTTTATTACTGAAAAGATTTCCATTGGATAGATGTACAATTTGTTTGTTTATTCACTAGTTGAAGGACATTTCATTCTGAGTTTGGGATGACATTCTCATACAGGTCTTTGTGTGAACATATTATTTCAAAATATGGTATTTATAAAAATAGCTAAAAACATTAAATGTGGACTTTTCTGATCAACCAAAGAGCTAATGGGAGATGGGGGGCAACCAGGGTTGCACTGGAAGTTTAAATTGGGCAAAGGTTAGACATCGTTTTAGATAGGTGCTCTTGAACACCACTGACAACATGGTTCTAACAGTATTTCATTACAATAGATGGTTACAGTTCTCAGCATGTGCTTCTCACCTAGGAGTTTCTGCAGACCACATTGGAGGAAGTCATTATGTTATGCAGCCTCACGATGGTACTGATGGCAGTATGAATGATCGAAACACGAACCTTTCAAAAGAAAGTTTCAGAGAACAAGATATGTATTTTCCAATTGTAAATGTGGCAAGGATAATGAAAAATACCATATCTCAAACAGAAAAGATTGCAAAAGATGACTGTGAACTCATCAGCTTTATAACATCTGAAGCCAGTGAAAGATGCTATCAAGGGAAACGGAAGACAATCAGTGAAGATATCCTCTTTGCCTTGTGTACCTTAGGCTTTGACAGTTATGTAGAACCTTTAAAATTATACCTTCAGAAATGCAGAGGCTATGAAAGGAAAGGAATTGGTAGAACAACCACAGCTATAGATGAAGAGCTAACAGAGGAGGCATTTACTAACCAGTTACCAGCTGGCTTAATAACTGCAGATGGTCAATAAAATGCTACATTTACACATCATAGCAGCAGATTTCAGGTGTTCAACGAATTCAGTTTTCAGGATCAGAAGAAAGGATGGAGTGGGGAGTATAGAGAAGCAAGAGAACCTGTAAGATTCTGAAGCAGAGAGGTTACAAGGAAATGACTGGTGAAAGGATGTCTCCTTGTACATTAAATAGCTGTAATGCAGGTTCTGATGCTTGATTGAGGTGTTAATTCTGATTTGAGAATCCTTTTCATGAGTGATTTTAAAGACAAATTTGGATTTTAAAGTTATTAAAATATTTTTTATAAGGATTTGTTGCTCTGTATGACCTCTCTATGCACTGTACATTGCAATTAATTACTGTCAGAGATTTGTAGACAGTTTATTTTCATATCTTCATGTTACTTTTGTAATTCAAGGATGCAGCTGGTTTAATTCCTGTTTGTCCTTTTTAATAAATTATAAGGGTAAAGTTAAAAAAATGTTACAGGAAATTGCCACTGGAGGTTGGAAGTGGAACAAAGGCATCTTAAGTTGATGTTTTGTATTTTAGGCCTTTTTAAACCATGAGTTAAAAAACAAAACAATCAGTTGTATACTTTAAAAGAGTGAATTTGAGAGAATCAAGATGGCAGAGGAGTGAGTGAAAGTCACACTGACCTCCTCCCAGGACCGGCCTGGAATTACAACTAAATTGGGGAGAAATCACCTGGAACAAACAACTGAACAATAGTGAGAGAGGACCCTAGTAACCTCGGAGACAGAAGAATAGGCTTTAGTGCACTCTAACTGGTAAGGAGTGCCACAGGTGGCAGCGCCAGAAGGATATTGAAACGGCCAGTTGGATCCCCCTGAGAAGAGTGGGGTCTAAACCAAAAGTGGGGATCTCTAGCCCACAGCACCAGAGCCCAAAAAGTACACAGATAACAGCCAGCTGCGAAAAGCGGCAGGGTTGCTCTCTGCCAGAGACAGGCGGCTGGAGACACAAAGAATCGTTTAAAGGGCCAACGCATAAATTTCTATTTGCAGCCACTTACCCTGGTCTCCGGCAAAGGCGGGGGCAGAGTGAGCTAGAGACCCTGAGGAGAGACTGGGGAAGGAGGCTTTGGGGAGAGAACTGAGAGAGTAGCCAGCTGGATCTCAGTGCTGACTCATCCCCCATGCAGCAGCGGCCATCTTGCTCAGGCAGAGACCACTCCCTCGGACTGGCACCAGCATCAAAGGACCCAATAGCCCCAGCCCCAGGTGGGATTCCACCCCACCCTGTGCTGTCTAAACTGCCTGCTGAGTGCAGAGTGGCAGCCACAGACGGTAGATCCCTGGCTAAAGGGGCGCAAAGAGGTCTGGAGACACTTGAGGAGAGACTGGGGAAGGAGGCTTTAGGGAGAGAACAGAGAGAGTAGCCGGCGGGATCCCAGTGCAGACTCCTCCCCCATACAGCAGCAGTGTGAGAGGACCCAATAACCCCGCCCCCAGGAAGGACCCCACCCTGCCCTGAGCTGTCTAAGGCGGCCTGCTGAGTGCAGAGTGAATAGATTGAGACAGCCACAAACAGTAGATTACTGGAAGTCTCAAATAGACTGCCTAAGGTCAGACAGGGTCAACATCTGACATCATCAGAGGCAGATCCAGAAAGTAAAAACAGCGATCTCCAACCATAGTGGTTCATAACACAAAGTCAGGAAATCAAGACAGATCAACTTAAGATTCAGAAGCAAAATAGAAGAGTCTCACAAATAATGGGAAGACAAAGAAATATGCTGCACTTGAAGGGAAAGGAGGAATCGCCACAAAGAGAACTAAATGAAATAGAAGCAAGTAAACTATCAGATATTGAGTTCCAAACAATGGTTCTAAGGAAGCTCAATGAGCTCAGTGAGCTCAGAGATAATTATGAAAAATTACAGGGAAACTACGAGGAACTTACTGCAAACTATATCACCATGAAAAAGGACATAGAAACTATCAATAAGAGACAAGAGGAAATGAAAAATACAATTTCTGAATTGAAGAACACAGAAGGAATCAAAAGCAAGCTAGATGAAGCTGAGGACTGAATCAGCAAGCTGGAGGACAAGGTAGAAAAAAGCTCCCAGAAAGAGCAAGAAAATGAAAAAAGACTCAAAAAGAATGAAGAGGCATTGAGGGAAATGAAGGACAACCTGAAACGTAATAATATCCATTTAATAGTGATACCAGGAGAAGAGGATGAGGAAAGGATAGAGAACCTGTTTGAAAAAATCATGATGGGAAACTTCACTAATTGGAGGAGAGAAAAGTCACACAAGTCCAGGAAGCACAGAGTCCCATTCAAGAGGAACCCAATGAGGCCCACTCCAAGACACATCATCATTAAAATGGCAGATAGCAAAGACAGAGATTCCTAAAGGAAGCAAGGGAGAAAGAAGTAGTAACATATAAGCGAGCCTCAATATGGCTAGCAGCTTACTTCTCAACAGAAACACTGCAAGCCAGAAGGAAATGGCAAGAAATATTCCAAGTCATGAAAAGAAAAGGTCTGCAACCAAGGCTGCTCTACTCAGCAAGGCTCTCAATTAAAATGGAAGGTGAAATAAGGAGTTTCCCAGACAAAAGAAGGCTAAAATACACCTCTATCAAACCAGCACTGCAAAATTTGCTAAAGGGACTGCTTTAAGATGAAGAAAAAGTTTCTATGAATACCCAGTTCCTTTCAGAGTTGCCAACACTTGATATTACCAATATTTTTAATACTCATTAATCTGTGACGATGTTATTTCAATTGTTTACTATTTGTTGAAACTAAACCTGTTTTAGTATATTTCTTGCCTATTTCTATTATTTTTTTAAAAAAGCTTTAAATGACTTTTTGGTATTCTTTATCCATTTATTGATTAAATGTTCGTAGAACTTTTTCCCTAAAAAAACCAAAACATAAAAACCAAAAAAACCTATTAACCATGTTTTAGGTGTGTTGCAAATACTTTTCTATTCTATTCCTTGTCCTTTAACTTTTTTTTATATGTATATTACTATATAGTTAAATGTTTAATATAGTCATATTGTCAATCTTTACTTTATACCTTCTGGGTCTGAATATTTTACTTCAGGTCATGAAAAATATTCTATTTTCTTCTCAAATTCCTTAGATTCTACATATTGATTTTTAACTCACCTGAATATTTCTTGTAAAATGTGTGAAATAAGGCTCTATATTTGTTTTATTTCAAGTAATAGTGGTCCATGCACCTTATTTGTTGAATAAGCCTTACTTTACCCATTGATTTGAAATATCAACTTAATCATATATTATATTGTTAGACAGATGTATACATTTGTCTCTAAAATGCTCATTATATTTCATTGATCTACTTGATTATTTCTGTGCTGGTGTCATATTGGTTTAATTGCTGAGACTTTATAATGGTTTAAATTTTTTAAGTATTTTTTAATTGACATTTAAAAAAACAAATAAAATCAATCTGCATTTAAGAAAGAAAGAAAAAGAGATGGCACTCCTACATTTTGCAACAACATGGATGGAACCGGAGAATATTAGGCTGAGTGAAATAAGCCAGTCGATGAAAGACAAATATTATATCATCTCACCTATAAGTGGACTCTATTCAACAAAATAAACTAATGAACAAAATAAACCACAGGCACGGAAACATGGAGCAGCCTGAAAGTGACCAGAGAGGATGGGGAAGGAGTACAATGGTGGAAAGAAGAAGAGACTAGACAGAGAACATGTTTGAATGACCCATTGGACATGGACCGCAGAGTGGAATTGACTGTGGGAGCAGGAGGCAGGATGCGATAGGTGGAGGAAGGCAAAGGGGGGAAAATTGAGACAATTGTAATAGAATAAACATGATTTATAAATTAAAAAAATAAAATAAAAGTGAATTTGATGACAAATTATATCTCAGAAAAATTATTAGAATGCAGTGAACACACTGTCAATTTACAATCTAATGTCAAGTTTTATTCACCCTTCTTCTAACAATATGCTGTCATTCAACATATAACTTGTAAATTATCTATGCACACAGTAGGTACTCCATAAATATTTTTATTTAATAATTAGCTACTTTTTAGAATGACTAAAAATCCTGATGTAAAATCCCTATTGGGAAGTGCATAATCCCATTTTAGACAAAATATATAAGTTTACAATAAACATTTTTACAGGAATTTGCCCCAAAGAGGGAACACTTAAATTTTGGAAATTAAAAAGCAAAAAAGTAAAAAGATGAAACACAATACTCATAGATTCAGACAATGATTCCTGGATCAGTGGAACTTGGAGACCAAGGGCTCCCGTTACCCCATGGCCTTAAGGCCATCTGACATTCGGTTAAGAAGGTAATTATATATCTAATAACCTCTTACAGGGAACTGTTGCAAGAATATGTAAGCAATAGCCAATGAAAAAATTTTAACTGCATCCTTTGCATGAATATAGGAAAAAAATTTAATATATATTTTATTGTCCAATTTAAAAAATCAACACTTTTCATTTTAAGCAGCAAGAATGATGTACAGAAAAGCATGAAGTCACTTTTATAGAAGCTATGTTAAATTCTAAGGAAAACACTTCAGGAGAAAAGCCCAAGAACCTTAGTCCAAATATAAAACAAATCCTTGCATTAAATGGTCCTCCAATGTTTACAAAAATAAAATAATCTGTGACCACACATGATAAACAAATACCTTCTAAATTTATTTTGGGTTAGCTTTATAACTATGAACATTCACTCCAACTTGAAAAAAAAAGTAGCACTATTATAAGGAAAAATTTAAAACCACCAAATACCTAACCTTAGAGAAGTACATAAACAATACTTTATAGCTATAAATAAAAAGTCTACTAACTATATTTTTCAAAAATTATTTAATTCTATAAAAATTAAATATATGGACTATATCAATACATGGACATGTATATATAAAATACTATTAAAGTGGAAAAAAAGCAAAATTAAAAATCTAGTGATTACAACCATGTAAAAGTAAATACATTACAGTAACAA